TCCAACTGACAGAGATAGCAGGTATGTGCATGTATATATGTGCACACACATATATATACATACGTAAATATGCATACATGCACATCTATAACAATTCTCTAACTCTGGGTATATGTAAGATACAGATATGCAGCTCATGAATTTATACCTCTATGTCTAATTTCAGTTCGATACCTCAAGGTTCTTTCCAGTCTCCTCCATTCCTCAGCCTTACATGACAAAGAAGGTGAAGAGTCCTGGGGAAGTGGGAGGAGCCTGTCTAGAGGGGTTGGTTAGGGAGGGCCTCGCTGAGGAGCTGAGCCTGGGTGGGGACACACAGTGGAGAGGATTCCAGGCAGAGGAGTAGCAAGCACAAAACGTTAGGAATCAGGGCAGGGTCAGGGTGGCCATTGTGTGCTGAGCAGGCCGAGAGTCTGCTGGTGATGCCTAGTGAGGTGAGAAGGCACTGGAGGATTTCAAGGAAGGGTGTGACATGATGTGCTTTGTATTTTAAGCCATCACTCCAGCTACAATGCCAAGCATCGATTGTGAGAGGACAAGGGTGAAGGAGAGCACAGTGCATGCTTGCCCTTGTAAGCCACGGACTCATTCACCCCACAGCCAGCTCCGGAAACTAGGGTGGCTAGGCACATCGACAATGCTTACCCACTCACTTATTTCTACTCCGGGCAGGGCCTGTTAGGTGACGTGAAGGATGTGGCTTCACAGGGACACGAAGTCCATCCTCCCTCTCCTAGCCTCTGGGTTGGTTCCTGCATGATTAGTAATAAACAACTGTGGGCACCTCAGAGATGTTTGACGCTTGAAAAGTTGGGTTCTGGGGGAGATCCCCGGGATGGAAGTGCTGGTGCCGCCTCTGATCAGAGGACTGTGGCTCCCTGGGTGTATCTCATCCCCACAACCGGCACTCCGGTTTGGTCCTGGCATTTTGTAGGTGCAGAAACTGAGAAGCCATGTGACTGCCTGTGGTCGCAGTTACTGACCACATCCGCTTGGCACTGCCTTCCCGCATACAGTTCATTGTTTCACAGCTCCAGGCACACATAACTCAGCTAGCTCCCTCCTCCCTGGCATGCATCTCTTTGGACACAAACAATGAGAATTGCATGCCTGACTGTGTGAAGAGAAGCGGTCCCTCCCTTTGCACCCACACTTGGAAGTTGGTGTGCTGCATTAAAGTGCGCTGTTTAACCCATGCCTTTGTCTCCTGTGAGAGGAGAATGTGTTTTGTAGGACACAGCTCTGATTTCCCTGGGGCTCTTCCACTGGATCCCCTCAGTTTGATATTAATTTAGTCAAATAAAACAAGGTCACCTGCACCTTGTCCCCCACACAGGGTTTTCCCTCCATGGATGGATACCTTTGGCCTCTTTCCCCTGTGCAGAGCAGCTGCCAAGGTGCACTGGATACATGGACAATATCTGCCTACATCGCAGCAGATGCTGAGCATCAACACCCCAGTGACTACCAGGGCTACAGTCATCTTCTACTGCTGTCTAACAAATGACCACAAACTTAGCCACTTCCAGCAATCCGAACTTCCTAACTCACAGTTCCCATGGGCCAGGGATCCAAGCACATATCAGTGGGTTCTCCTGCAGGGTCTCACCAGGCTCAAATTCTCATGTTGCCCAGGGTTGCAATTCTCTCTGACGCACAGACTCCCCTTCCAAGCTCCCTGGCTGTTGGTAGAATTCAGGTCCTTGTGGTTGGAGGTTGCAGGATCTGAGCTCCTAGGGCAACCTGCAATTCCCTGCCCAGTGGCCCTCTCCATAACATGCAAATCTTTGGGGCCAAGGGAGGTGGTTTCTGCTGCTTCAACTCTCTCCTCAGGAAGCCCCTAGGTAAAGGGTCTAGTTAGGGCAGGCTCACCTTGGGAAATCTCCCTTTTGCTTAACTCCAAGTTAACTGATTAGGGATCTTAATTATACCTGCAAAATCCCTTTATCTTTCCATTATAAGTAACCTAATCACAGGAGTGAAATACCATCAAGTCCTGTCCACACTCAAGGGGAGATTCTAGAGAACATGCTCCAGGAGAAGGACTTGTGGGGCCATCTTAGAGTTTGCCTAATTGAATTACTTATTCCTGCTACCTTACTTTTTAAAGTTTGAAAAAATCATGTTAAAATACACAGGACATAAAATTTACCACCTTAACCATTTGGAAGTGTACGGTTCAGTGCCATTGAGTACATTCAAAGTGTTGTGCAGCCATCACCACCATTTATCTCCAGGACTTTTTCATCATCCCAAATGGAAACTCTGTACCCATTAAACACCAACTCCCCATTCTCCTTCCCTCAGCCCCTGGTGACCCCCTAGCCCCAGATTTTTGTGCACTTGTTTTCTCCAACACACATGGTGGCAGGAGAATTCTCAAATAAAACTACAGATTCTTCTGCCTCACTTCTCACGCTTGTGATTTTATCAACCTAGAGTTTCTTGAGCAACTCAAAATAAATATGTATCTGGGCTTGTTCTTCAAAAGACTTGTGTAGCCAATCTCTACTAGGCTGGGACTGTGAGCTCTGGCTGGCCTGTGTGCTGGGCAGAATAGAGAGGAAAAGTCAGATATTGGAAACAGGTCATGCTGCTTTGCCGAGATCAGCTCGGTCATGGAGACCCTAACCCAGCTAGAGGAATTAAAGACACACACACAGAAATATAGCATGTGAGATAGGGAATCAGGGATCTCACAGCCTTCAGAGCTGAGAGCCTTGAACAGAGATTTACCCACATATTTATTGACAGCAAGCCAGCGATTAGCATTGTTTCTATAGATTATAGATTAACTAAAAGTATTCCTTATGGGAAACAAAGGAATGGGCCGAAATAAAGGGATGGGTTTGGCTAGTTATCTGCAGCAGGAGCATGTCCTTAAGGCACAGATCGCTCATGCTACTGTTTGTGGTTTAAGAACGACTTTAAGCGATTTTCCGCCTTGGGTGGGCCAGGTGTCCCTTGCCCTCATTACGGTAAACCCACAAACCCACAGCCTTCCAGCGTGGGCATCATGGTCATCACGAGCATGTCACAGTGCTGCAGAGACTTTGTTTCTGGCCAGTTTTGGGGCCAGTTTATGGCCAGATTTTGGGGGGCCTGTTCCCAACACTGCTCGATCTCATACTCTCTACAACCTCACACATAGCGTGCACTGAAAGCAAACTCACCAAGTCAGCGTGTGGTACATTTCCTTTAATTTAGGAAAGGAACTGAGTCCAGACTAAATGAGGAACCTCATGCCTCTCTGGTGTCTCAATTTCCCACCTAACTAATGGGATCCGCAAAGTCAACATTTTAAAAAAATCACATGCTCCGTGTATAGACAGAAGGAACATACCAGAAGAACCTGGACAGGTTTTAATACTTTGAGAATTAAAGTCCCAAACTGCACCAAAAAAAGATAATTCTGCAGTCTTTTTGGAAGCTTCTCTCCTCATAAATCTGTTGTTTTTTAATGGGGTGATGAACATGACATTGATTCTAGGGTTTCTAATAGAAACAGTAGGTCACAGGTACAATTTTGCTCCTTTCACTCCGGGAGTCTTAGGCACAGCTGTGTCCAAAGGGAATTTGCTTCCCTTTATTTGGGTTTGCATGGATGTTGTATTTTTGTGCATTGCAGATTTCCACAGCTTTGTTAGCAAGGCATAATTATTTCCAGACAAGATGCTGGCTCAGATGACTGCCTCATCCTTAATGTGGCTTTTGAGTTTCGCAAGAGGCAAACCCAGAGCTTTCCTCCCTGTGCCTTCTGTGCATCCTGGTAACGTGGCAAAGAGAAATTACAACTAGGAAAGAAGTCGTCATTTTAGGCGATTATAAAGCATTCCCAGAATAAAATAATTTGTTCAAATTCCAAACCCACATGTGTAGAAACTATAATTTTTTTTTTTTTTTTTTGGAGACAGAGCCCCTCACTCTGTTGCCCAGGCTGGAGTGCAATGGCATGATCTCGGCTCACTGCAATCTCCGCCTCCTGGGTTCAAGTGATTCTCCTGCCTCAGCTTCCCAAGTAGCTGGGATTACACACATGCGCTACCATGCCTGGCTAATTTTTTATATCTTTAGCAGAGACGGAGTATCACCACGTTGGCCAGGCTGATCTCAAACTCCTGACCTCATGATCTGCCCACCTCAGCCTTCCAAAGTGCTGGGATTACAGCTGTGAGCCACCACGCCCGGCCAAAACTGTGTGGTTGGCAACTTTCTTCCACAAACAGAATAAGGGGTGATTGTGCCAATGGCTTCGGCTCTTGAAATATACCTGGGTCTGGAGGCAAGCCTGCAGTGATAGAACATTCAGCAGCCCATCTGTGTGTGAAAAGCCTGCAGGTAAGAGTGCCATACGGCAAAGAATGAGCAAACTGGAGAAACACTAACGCATTTCCATTCCCCAGCCCTCCGAAAACCCACAAAGAGAAGTTCAGCTGGGCAGCTAGAGCTTGCTGGGAACCAGGGAGTCCACTGAGTGGCCATAACCACTGAAGAGCTTGTATTTGCATTGGCTTTCCTTAGAGATTTGGTTTTAAAAAGCAAAACAAATACAAATTCAAGAGACTTCTTGCTTTAAAAAAAGCGGGGGGGGGGGGGGGGGGGGGGGGAAGGTGGTATTTATATTGCCGTGTCAATATTTTTAATGTACTTTAAGATGAAAGAAAAGTCCATTACAATAGGGAATAATAACCAGTCCCTAAAGATCTGTTTGCAGCTCCTTTCACTTCCTCCAGAGTGAAAGAAATTCCAGTTTCATGATGTCACTGCCTTAGCCAGATCTTTCTGAAGATGCAGCTGTTCAGATGGACGCGGGTTCTGTGTGTGCAGTTTCCTCCTGTGGTTCCCAGAGGCGAATGAGGAGGATGGGCCATGGCAACATTCAACAAGCTGGCCTCACCCAGCACACACACACCTGCCATCTCTGCAGTTCTGACCTTGGCTGGCCTCCCTCCGCTGTCCAGCTTTGAGTCTCATCTTCATCTTCGAGCAGTGGCTGGAAGTTACAGCTGCAGCAAATGTGCAGAATATGAAAAGAATTCAGAATAGAATTAGACCAGGAATGATGTTAAATCCAGCCGTGTGCTCTAGAGACCCGGCAAGGTTGCAGGCATCTCTAAGTGGACAGAAGCAGGTAACATATGACTGAATGTAGGGGCCAGGACTAGGAGCTGATCTGTTCACAAGACAGTGACTTAGCAAGTACAAAATCAACAAAAATCATCCTGACCTCTCTACTTCTAACTCCTGTGTCCAAGCTAACATCCCTGCTCATGATGCAACCTCAGCTAGCTGGTAAGGAGGCCCCAAAAATTCACTCGGAAATTCAACTCCAAATTTATTCTGAATCTTTTTTTTAGTGGGAAAAGGACTTGTAATCCCGAAAAGAGACAGCATTAAGTGTAAAAATGATGAAGATGAATCAAATCTATTTCTGATATTTTGGGGTTAGGAGGTAATCTGTGGATATTTGGCCTTTTCCTTATTTGTTATGTTTAAGAGGATTTTGTGTACTGGAGTGTCAGTCAAACTTGTAATTCTAACTTAAAATGTGGAGTTAAAAAGTTGATGTAGAGTATAATTTTATGTTGATATTTTAAGAGTATATGAAATGTATTATATGTCTAGATTTTGTTATATTTACAGGAATTATTACTTAAGTACTTGGGAAGATTTTTTTGTTGTTAATCAGACAATTAAGGAAGTCAAATGATTACATTTACAAAGTCTGTTCAAAAAGTTTAATGCAATTTGTGTTTGTTGATGGGACCAAAGTTAATCAAAGGCTCTCTTTAAAAAGTATTAAATATTACTATATTAATTTTTAAAAATAATATTTGCAGGTTGAACGGCATGTATAAATGACATGAAGAACACTGCCAATGTGTTAATTAGACAACATTTTAAATATTCACCAATTCTTATTATGAGAGTATTTCTTTCAAGGTACTTTACCAAATATCATTTTCTTTCATTGAAAGGATTGCTTCAGCCTTGACTGATGTGCACATGCTCACAACAGAGGCGAAGGGCAGTAGAGTGAAGGCCCAAGGCTGTCACTGGTTAGCCTGTGGACTCGAGTCTCAGTTTTCTCATCTGTAAAATGGCATAACAATAAATACATCATGCAGCCAACTGCAAGGACGGGATGAAATGTTGTGGGTAAAGAAAGCCCCTGCCAACTACCTGGCCCAAGGCAGGCACCCCACAGACAGTGCTTGTGCTTGTCACCTCACTGTGAGACGTACAATAATAGTCATGTAGTACTCTTTTTCTCTGAGCCATTGTTTTCTTGGATTATATTGACAATTTATATCGTAAGGAAATCTCCCAGAGTGACCCTGTTAAGATGTCAGAAATATCATAGCACATGTCAGCTTGAAGCCCTCTAATGGCTTCGTCTTGGTCAGAAGAGGAGCCGAGGTCAGACTGTGGCCTCCAGGTCCCTCAGCAGATGGCTCAGTGCTTTCCTGGGACATACTAGGCCCTTCCATGGCAGGTCTTTGTGACAGCTATTCCCTCTGCCTGGCAGCTCTTCCTCAAGAATTCTGCAGACTCACCTCTTCCACTTTCAGGCCTCTGTTTGAATGTCACCTGGGCCCCCTTTTTAAAACTGCACCCCACCCAACAGACTAATCCCAGGAATAAGTGCATCCCTTGTGTCAAAAGGGGTGGTCTGAAAGCTTAAGAAATGGTAAAAGGATTCTCCTCATGGTTTATACTTTGTTGCTAGGCTGCAATTTTTTTTTTTTTTGAGACAGAGTTTCGCTGCTATTGCCCAGAATGGAGTGCAATAGCGCAATGTCGGCTCCCTGCAACCTCCGCCTCCCAAGGTTCAAGCGATTCTCCTGCCTCAGCCTCCCAAGTAGCTGGGATTATAGGCACCTGCCACCACACCTGGCTAATTTTTTGTATTTTTAGTAGAGACGGAGTTTCACCATGTTCCCCAGGCTGGTCTCAAACTCTTGACCTCAGGTGATCCACCCACTTCGGCCTCCCAAAGTGCTGGGATTACAGGTGTGAGCCACCATGCCCGGCCTTTTTTTTTTTTTTTTTTTTTTGGAGACAGAGTTTTGCTCTTGTTGCCCAGGCTGGAGTGCAATGGCGCGATCTTGACTCACTGCAACTTCCGCCTCCCAAGTTCAAGGGATTCTCCTGCCTCAGCCTCCTGTGTAGCTGGGATTATAGGCGCCCACCACCACGCCCAGCTAATTTTTGTATTTTTAGTAGAGATGGGGTTTCACCATCCTGGCCAGCCACCGCGCCCGGCCTGCAATTTGTTTTTAAGTCTTCTTACAATGTTCAGAGACCAAAGATCTTTCTCTTGCAAATTGACAATCGTTTTGCTGCTGTGTTCCTAACAGCTAAAACAGTGCCTGGCACCCAGAAACAACCAAGGATTTGAATGAAAGAGTGGGCCAAGACTCAGGCAACGTAGGTTTTTATCCCAATTCTGAGACTTGCCTGCTTTGTGACCTTGTAGAAATCATGACCTTCTCGAGTCTTCATTTCCTCCTCTCCAAAATGGACGTAACAATCTGTCTCCCGTTGTCTCGATGGGACGGTAGGCGGGATTAATGGAGATGTAAGTGCACACGTACTATAAGGCCCTGCAGAAACATGACAGATTATTGTCATTAGTTGGGGACATTTGCAAAGATTGCCTACATGCATACTGTTTTAAATGTTTTTGAATTGGGAATTGTGTCCCCTGTGGCCTTTGTATGAAATGAGATTGCTACATCAAGTATGACAAACATGTCCAGCACCATTGAGTGTTCAGCCCTGTGGTACGACATGAGGATGGCGGAAGGATAGCCCACTGCAAATTTCCTCAAGACTGGTGAAAATTGGGGTCAACTGGAAGATTCCAGAGATCTATCAATGAGGCCAGATTAGTATCATTGGAATTTGCCTCATCATCCTATAAATGCCTGGGCAGCATCCTCGTGGAAGGATTGCACTGAAGGAAAGAGACTTGATAAAGTACATTACTTCTGATAATATGCCAATCCCATGAGTAAGTGCACTCCTTGTGTCCAAGGGATGGGATGGTAAAAAGACTTCCAAAGGATTCTCCTCATGGTTGATATTGGGTACCTCAGTCTGAATTTTTTTAACTCCTCTCATGAAGTTCAGAGACCAAGAATCTTTCTCATGAAGTTCAGAGACCAAGAATCAATCTCCCATTAGCAGATTGACACTGCTAATCACAAGCAAGCCCAGGCTTGTGTTCAGAGACAAAGTCAGTGTGACCGGTGACTGTTACAGCAATACAAAATAATGGTGCCGGGCGCGGTGGCTCACGCCTGTAATCCCAGCACTTTGGGAAGCTGAGGCGGGCAGATCACAAGGTCAGGAGATAGAGACCATCCTGGCTAACACGGTGAAATCCCGTCTCTACTAAAAATACAAAAATCAGCCGGGCGTGGTGGCGGGCATCTGTAGTCCCAGCTACTTGAGAGGCTGAGGCAGGAGAATGGCGTGAACCCGGGAGACGGAGCTTGCAGTGAGCTGAGATTGTGCCACTGCACTCCAGCCTGGGTGACAGAGCGAGACTCCATCTCAAAATAATAATAATAATAATAATAATAATAATAATAATAATAATAATGGCAGCAGTCCCACTAGCCGAGGCCAGCATCGAATAGGGCAAGTTACTCAAACAGGTCACCCTAGCCACCACTCCAAACGCCTGTGCTTAAACTAACTTAGGGAGCCCGGTTTTGCAGGATGTGCAACCACGTTGTGCCCCCTAGGGCTCACCAGACTTCAGTACCTAATCATGTACCTCACCATGGCCCAGGTTCCCAGGGAAATAAAACACGTAAGTTGCCCATACCGGAAATGGAAGTCATCCTCATTGCTCTGCAGATTTAAAAATTACAAACTTTTCATTAGCAGGAGCTAAGAACAAGAGACGAGTGCCATCTTGTGGAGAGACCCACAGACACGCATGGAGTTGCACCCCAAATTCTCTCCCAGAGCAAGCATTCCCCAAACTCACCCCCTCTTAAAGGCCTCCTGAGTCAAATGCACTTGAGCACAGAGTTCACAGTGCTCTCTCGACTTTTTCAAAAGAGCAACAGTTTAACAGCTAATCACCCTAAGCTCCCTCACAGCAGCCTGAGGCCTACAGAAGCTCTCCAGGGGGGCTGCACCATGTTGTCCTCCCATCACTGGGCAGCCCATCTCCTCAAGTTGTTGGCCTCCCAGTTGGTAGAAGAGAGAGGGTAATGGTCCTTTTGTTCATGCAGCCTCTCCCCTACTTCAATGCCCACCATTTGGTTTCATGCGAGAACCTTCATTACATATTACACACCACACAGGCGCTGGGGATACCAAAATAACAATGACAGGCTGGCAAGGAGTCCGGTAAACAGACATGTAAGTGACAAGTGCTGTGACTGTGCAGAGCAACAGGGCAGAGAGCTGAAGAAGGAAGGAGAGAAGTCCTGGGGCTCTGTCTACAGAGCAGCCATCACTGAGAGTGCACCACTACCCCCCGTGTTCCCTGGGGCCCCAGCAGACTCCTCTGAGCACTAGCTGGAGCAGGAGCTGTGGCCACGTTGACCAAGACCATCCTCGAGGGGAACCTCTGCCCTCCTTGGCGAGGCTGGCCTGGGTGTGGACACTGCTTTTCCTCTTAGTTCTTCTGAGGCGAGGTTTTCCAGTAGAAATGTTTACTAGGCAACTAAAGGAAAAAACAAAAGCAAATAATGAAATAAAGGGGTATATAAAGGCTAGCTTGCAAACAAAGGTGCCACACCCCGACATGACAGACACGAAACTCCAGCACAGGCCGGCCTGGCCAGGGTGGCTTCTTAGCATGCGAATCTCTTTGCCATCTTCACCTCACATGTGTCCAGGGGCACGAGGCCAAGCTGCCAACAAGCCCAGTGAAGGTAGATTGGTCTCACGAGACTCACAGCCTACTGAGACCTGCAGTACATTCCAGAAGCTGCTTCCTTCCTAAATCCTGCTCTCCGATGGGCTCATGGCATCCACACCCCGGCTTCCACTGTGGTCCACCCATCCTGGCCATGAAAGTGGAAGATCTTACAGTTGTTGTTGGTTTTCTTGCCATTGTTTTTAAGGTCAGTGGACATTTGAGTTGTGTCTGAATTTGGCAAAGATTTATTTTGATTATACTGGTATAAAATCTGTTTTCTAATTTATTTTATTTCTCAATCTCATCTCAAGGGGAGATATTGTGAAATACATATTTGTTCTTCATCCCCTGTTTCCTGGCATACAACTCCTAAAATCCTTGGAATCTCCAAATGTCTTTTTATAATTGACTTTTATGATGTCTTTTCATATGCTAATAATTGACTGATGGCTGGGCTCCCAGACAATTTAAGGATGAGACTGTTCTCCAGAAAGACCAAGGCAGGATCAGCACTTTCAGCTCCAACCCTCAATGTCCAAGGAGTGGAGGGAGCTGGAGGTTAAGCTGATTACCAATGGCCAATGGTTTTGTCAATCATGCCTACATAATGAAGTGTCCATAAACGGTCCAAAGGAACAGAATCTGGAGAGCTTCCAGGTAGCTCATCAGGTGGAGGTTCCTGGAGGGTAGCAAACCCCTTCCCCCATACCTTGCCCTACACATCTCTTCTTCTGTATCCTTTGTAACGTCCTTTGAGTAAACTGGTAAAGGCATTTCTCTGAGTTCTGTGGGCCACTCTAGCAAATTAATCAAACCCAGAGAAGGGATTGTGGGAACCCCAACTTGAAGCTAACAGGTCAGAAGTTCTGGACGCCCAGAATTGCGACTAGTGATTGGGGATAAGGAGGGCAGCCTTGGGGACTGAGCCCTGTGAGATCCGACACTATCTCCAGGTGGACAGTATCGTAGTTGAATTAGAGAACACCCAGCTGGTGTCTGTCCCCTGAAGAACTGCTTGCTTGTTTGCAGCTGGGGAGAAATCTCCCACATTTGTTCACAGAAGTCTTCATCTGCGTTGATTGTTGTGCTGTTGAGTAAGAAAATAGGAGAAAGCACTTTGAGCTTGTGTGTTTTTTCTACACTAACACCGTGAAAAATGAAAATGAAATCCTGTGCCTGTCAACCAACTGAACCAATCCCCTCTTGGCCAGGGGTATCCCAGGGAAATGAAAACTGAGTTCCC